ATGAAGGAAGAAAATGACCTATATATACATTGAAAACTGCAGTACTCTGAAAAAAGGGATTGAAGAGGATATCAGAAAATGGGAAGATATCCTTTGCTGTTGGGTAGGAAGAACCAATAGAGTGAAAAATGGCAATATTTCCAAAATTGTTTTATAGATTTAATGCAATCCTGATCAAAATTCCAACAAATTTCACAGAATTGGAAAAAAAAATCCTAAAATTCATTTGGAACTAGAAGAGACCTAAAATAGTGAAGGCAATTTGGGCAACAAAGGCAAGATGGGGGTGTTACAATCCCTGACTTGAAATTGTACTGCAAAGCTACTGTGATAAAAACCACATGGTCCTGGCAAAAGCAGAAAACAAAATCAGCAAACACCCGGGGATCAATTGAATGGATTAGAAGACGCAGAAACAACTCCAGACTTACTCAGCCACCTTATCTTTTTCCAAGGAGTCAAATACTTTCACTGGAAGAATAATAGGCTCTTTAATAAATGGTGCTGGAAAAACTGGCTTTCAACATACTGAAAATTAAAAGTAGATTCATGTCTTTCACCATGCACTAAACTAAAGTTGAAGTGGATCAAAGATCTAAATATTAAAACAATAAATCTGCTGGAAGGTAAAGTAGGTAGAACTCTTGAAGACACTGGTGTAGGCAAGGCTTTCTGAACAAAAATGCAACTGCACAGGAATGGTCACAAAGAATCAACAACTAGGATCTCATCTTATAAAAAACTTTTGCACAGCAAAAGAAACCACCAACAGAGTAAAGAGACGACCCACAGTGTGAGAATAAATTTTTGCCATCTGTTTCTCAAAGGACTATTATCTAGAATATATAAAGAACTCAAAATATCAGACACCCGCCCCCCCAGTTTAAAGACCTAATCCAAAATTGGGCACCTAAAAATAACAAGACACTTCTCAGATGAAGAATTAAAAATGGCACATAAATATATGAAAAAAATATTTAACATCACTGGGCATTTGAGAGATACAAATGAAAAGAACCCTGAGATTCCACCTTAATCCAGAAAGAATGTCATCAAGGAATCAGTAAGAAATGCTGGTGGGGCTGAGAGGAAAAAGGAACCCTTCCCCACTGTTGGTGGGAGTGTAGACTAGTGCAACCATTGTGGAAATCAATGTGGAAATTCCTCACAAAACTAAACTAGAGGTTCCATTTGACCTGGTTATTCCCCTTCGTGGTATCTTCCTCATAGAATTAAAGCATCACACCACAGTGATACATGCACACCCATGTTTATAGCAGCACAGTTTATAATAGCTGGATCTTGGAAACAGCCAAATGCTCATCAACAAATTAACAGATGGTTTTTTTTTTTAATACAGTGGCGTACTACTCTGCCATAAGGAAGGATAAGCTTGAGACATAGCCGAATGGATGTACCTTAAGACCATACTCCTAAGTGGTCACACATGTAAATATCACACGGTTTCTCTGGTGTGAGAAACCAAAAGTGTAAATAAGGATCAAAATTTATAATAGATATTGGGAAATGGGAAGAAAATTTTCAAATGACTGAAACAAGGGCTTTGTGGGGGCAGAGAAAGGACAAGAAAAAAGAATAGGAGAAAATGGTAACGGAGCTTTTGTAAACAAAAAGGGAAGAAGGGTTGAAAGGAGGTGAAAAGAATGGAAAATAGCAAGATATGTCACGTACAGGTACAAGTTCCCTGTGATGAAAGTTATCACTGTATGTCTAAAATGTACCCATAAAATAAAAAAGGGGTGAAAACCCAAACCAAAAACTGAGAAGTAGCCAGTTGTGTGCAATTCCATTTGTGCAGAATGGGTATAATAGGTCATGAATGGAAATAGAAAGCAGAGTCGTGGTGGCCAGGTTGTGTGAAAAAGGGTAAGTGAGGGCTAATTGCTTTAAGGTTCTTGGGTTCTTCTTGGGCCAAGGAGAAGTTTAGATAATGGTGATGGTTGGACAACTGAATACACTAAAAACCCCCCATTGAGCTGCACACGACAAAAGATGAATCCTGGACATGTGAACCATCTCAATAACCTGCTACTAATTTTTTTTCTCCCCCTTTCCTGTACTGGGGATTAAAATTAGGGCCTTCCCCTCAGCTGCACCACAGCCCTTTTTATTTTGCATTTGGAGACAGCATCTCAATTTCCCAGGTAGGACTCGCGATCTTCCTGCCTCAGAGTACTGAGTAGCTGGAATTACAGGCATGTGCCACTATGCCTGATGTGCTAATTTTTAAAAAATCAAACATGAAGCGTAAAGACCAAAAGAAAGGATTTGAGAGGGTGGAGACAACATTCCTAGTTGGGTGTGCAGGGGCAGAGTGGCTGCTGAGGAAGAACAGGACTTAGATACAGAGCTGTGAGACAGGGAAGAACTCGGTCAGTTCAGCCTGGAGCAAGGCGGGGAGTCAGGGTTGTCTGGGAGGGATGTTGTAGTGCAGTGCAGTGCTGTGTACAAATCTGGGAAAGACTCACGCCAAGACCCCACCGGAACGCAGGGTGGCCCGTGGACCTGCCGGGCCAGTGTAAGAACTCCCTGCTCCCCAAACCCGTAGCACGGCTTGTCAGGCAGACGCACGCACGGCAGAGCTCTGTGCAGCGTGCGCTGGTACGGTGCCTATCAGGACTCTGGGCAGTTTGAGAAGTGTTGCCTTGAACCATCTACAGTTGGGAATGCGGTGGTTTTGTTCCAGCCTTCTGGTAGCACCTTGGTGGATTTGCCAGGCCTCACACTCGGACATCGCTCGCCTCCATCTCCAGGGAAACTGAGTCCACATTCCTGGAAAAGGCCACCTCAGCCACACCACCCACCTAGGCCTCGCCCCTGTCAGTACTCTTTGGCAGAGAAAATTACCCTGGTTCCTGGTGCAGCAGAAGGAAAGCTTAATGGAAACTGCTCATGAGGAAGTAGACTGTGGGAACCTTTTCATGGTGTGTGTGTGTAGATATTAATGTGTGGGTTGCATTAAGTAACATTTTAACAGGAAATATGCTAGAAATGGGGGTTTTTTTGTTTGTTTGTTTGTTTTTTCTGGTACTGGGAATCAAACTCACAACCTCGCGCTTGCCAGGCAGGCGCTATGCTGCTGAGCTAAATCCCCAGCCTCTGGAGGTCTTATAAAAGAAATTTTAATATAAAAGCCTCACCATGTGCTCTTTCAGGCCTAGAATTTGGAGAGCTCCTGAGGATCTCACCAGCCCCATTTGAGCCTTTCCATTAAAGTCTCTTATGCCATTTCCATGTCTCCTGTCTTGGTGTCCTGAATAGCAGCTCATGCTGACTCTGCGCCTTACATAGTGGAGTATGAAAAGGTCCCCACGTTCCTAAGTTATAGGACCCTAGAACATTGTCACATTTTCCAAGGTTCACATGGAAGCAGTCTTTATCCCCATCACGTGATGTATTATTTCTATCAGACACTCCTTTCTTCCAGGTTTACAGTGAAATCCCAGCCCATGGATTGGGACCTTTGAGAACTTGCCATTGGCATTTTCATCAAGATTAGATTTTCCAAAGAGAGGTGCACACCCTGGGTTAGCCTGTGGGTAGGGCCAGGGTTAAAGGCTCAGTTCTTTCTCTTCCTTGAAGGGGGTCTGTCAGGCTCTTGCTCTGGGGATGGGTGTTGGTAGCTGGCCCAGCAGGAGCAGTACAGAGGTTCATCATCCCAGTGAGGCAGTTAGCAGGGAGGAGGGCCGGGCGGGTGCTCCACCTGCCTGAGCCCCTGAGTACCATCCCCAGCACCAGTGATAAATTGTGAGGAGACCTAATACTAAAGACAAAAGCTCTGATTTTTTTTTTTTTTTTTTTTTTTGAGACAGGGTCTCACTATACAGTTCAGGCTGGCCTTGAGCTCACTTTGTAGCCCAGGCTGGTCTCGAACTTGCAGTGATCCTCCTGCCTCAGCCTCCCAAGCACTGGAATTACAGGTGTGCACCATCACACCCCGCAAAAGCTCTGATTTCTGAGAGGGCAGAGCAAGGCCCGCTTGGAAGCCATGCCTGGGCAGGTTTAGGATCACCAGGTCGACTTCTGAATCTGTGCTGTCACCATTTACTTGATGCCAGGTGTTTCGCCTTTGTGAGGCACGGTTTTGCCAGTTTAAAATGGGCTGGCCCAGAAGATCTAGCTTATGAATTCATGAGAAAAGGCGTATTGTCTGCCTCATTAACGACGTGGCGTCCTGAGGAGACTACAGATTTTACCGTTAGTATTGGGCAATAGTATATTAAGCATGCGTACTACAAGAGGTGGACACGCCCCTTCTGGCATCAGTCCAGTCGTGGGGCTATAACTAGTACAGGTGAATTCTGCTGCCTGGCTCAGCGGATGCCCAAACTTCGTATCTGCGGCAGTGACAAGCTCATGCACGAGGTGGCGCTGTTTCCCCACCAGTCGGTGCTGGGTTACACTTTACTTCCTCCGCCCCACCTCCATCCAGAAACTGGACCTGGCCGGGCCTTTGCCTTCGGCCCTGTGGGGAAGCTTGATGCCTCCTCAGGCCCCGCTGGGACAGCAGTGTGGACATGCACACTGGCCCGTGGTCTCTAGAGGAGACCTGAGTCACAGTAACAGAGCTGACCCACTTTTCTGTTGTTTCAGGGTTGTGAAGGCGGAACCTAGGCTCACGCACATGCCCGGCAAGCTGTCCCGCCAAATGCGTCCCCAGCCCTTTTCTATTTTTGAACACACGTATAAAAACAATACTTTAGATGTTACAATGTGTTTTTATATTTTGGACTTTACTTGATTTTAGGTTTCAAATATTTGAAAAGTTTGGTAACTTGTACAGGACCCCATAGATTTGTTCCTCGTACTGATTACAGTACTGGGGAAAATACTCAGGATTGAGCTCCATTTTTGCTGGTCATCTGTCAGTATGGCCGGAGCAATCGTTTCCTCCTCCCTTGTCAGATGCTAGACACGCGTTTTCACAGATATGGTCACTCCATGCTTGATACAAATCGTTCTGTTTTGTTTGTTTTTAGATCCGGGGATTTCTGTCACGGTTTGATAATGTCCTTCCTGTCAGCCTGGCGTTTGACAAATGTACAGCTTGTTCTTCCAAAGTAAGTCATTTTGCCTTTGAGAGACTCATTTTTTAAAAGGGAACCCATCAGCATTTAACCTCAGGCTTTCCGGCCAGAGGCGCTGAAAGCAGTTTGCTTGTTTACAGTTGCCGCTCCATCCTCCCTGGGAGAGCAGCCTAAGCAGATTTGATTTCTAGTCCACAGAAAGCGACTGAGCTAGGTGTTCTAATCTTGTTTGTTTTTGGTTTTATTTTTTTGTTTTTTTTTTCTTCCAGTACTGGGAATCAAACTTACGACCTTGCGCTTGCCAAGCAGGCGCTGTGCCGCTGAGCTAAATCCCCAGCCCCTGTTCTAAGTCTGTATCATACTTGCATCATGGTAATTTGGGTTTGGGCTTGAGCTTGACTGTTCTTTGTTCCTCCCCAGAGGGTTTCCTCCTTGCCTGGATCTCATAGAATAGTTTTTGTTTTGTTTCGTTTTGAGGTGCTGAGGCGGGAACCCAGAGCCGAACTCATGCATGCCAGGCGGCACCCCACTACGGAGCCCCAGCCCCAGCCCTCTTCAAAGAGCAAATTTTAGGCTTGACTCAGAAGGTGGGGGATACCAGGGAGTCCTGGCTCTGTGTCTTTTAGAGATCTACATAATGACAAAGAAAAAGTAAATAGAGATTAGGGACCCGGATAGGAAGCCAATAAAAGGGCCCTTCAGCTTTGATCTTTCCAGCTGCTCTAAAAATAGAGCTGGTCCGCTGTGCCTTGTAATGGGAACCGGCTGATCCATCTCCAGACTGTAGTGATGGCAGCTCCCTTTCTCACTGGCTCTGAGATGCCTTCGGAGTCTTATACCCCTACTGTGTGTGGCAGATTTCCTTTTGGGTGTCCTTTTAAGCCTCCTCACACCCCGTAACTTCACCGGGGCTTTAAAAACTCCAGATTCTTGGTAGGCAGAGATTTTCTCCTTAAAGTGCTGTGCAGAATCGTGTCGGGATCCCTGGTCTCCAAGTCTCCATTATTATCTGAGACATCTCTATGTGTACCCTCCCCCGGCGGATGAAGGTGAGTTCTAGGGAAGTTCTGTCCTCCAAGCTGATGGGCTTCTGTTAACAACCTAGGTGGGTTATATTTTCTGCGAAGCGGCATCCTGACCACATTCTCTGAAAACTGAACTCAGATTTAGTAAACTGTGTTGATAAATTGGGTTAAATCTAGGTCCTCAAAAGTGGAGAATAACATTTTTTTTCCCTGCTTGCTTTGAAAATAAAATAAGCCCCTTTTTCATTGTTATCCATCCCAAGTTGTCTCCGTTGAGATTTGAAGCTTATTCTTTGCCGGTAATGACCCACGAGCTCATTCTTCCTATAGTTTCTAGTTTAAAATATCTTATCCTCCCAAGCTGGAACCTCAAAGAAGTCTACGTGAACTTCTGTCTTGAGAAATGTAAGTTCTAGGATTGTGTGCTCTCTCTGGAGCTTATTTTTTCTTTATATGGCTGAGCTAATTGGCCGTAAAGTAACTGGGTGGTATTAATTTTCATACTGAAGTCGTTTGGCGCAGGTGCCAGAAGTTTTTCTAGGGCTTTATGTAAATCCGGCTCATCAGTGAAATAAAGATAATTGGATTCTCGAAGTGAGATGCAAACATCCATTCTTTCTTACGCTATTTCTAATTAAATTAACCCAGCCGATACTGTTTATGAAGGAATCACAAGCACACCAGCTGACGAGGGCCCCTGTGTACTTTAAAAGAGAATAGCTTTGCCTTTTCCTCTCTCGCTTATTGTAAGCATTAAATTAAATATAGGTATCACGTTTTTGTTAGCAGAACGATTTCCTCTTGGTGGTCATTCTGCGAGTCCTGCTCTACATAAACACGCTCACCAATTTAATACAAACCGACTTGGGTTTTAACAGCTGCGCTCTTCCCACAGCGATCACTTTTCATGTGGGCCAGGGATTGAGTTTCTTTTGTGCTGGAAAGGTTGCTTCATCGGTGCCTGTATTTCCTTACAGTAGAAGTGCAGCATTTACTTACTTGGCTACCTTCTTTACTCACCCAGGAGAATGTCATTTTCTATCATCTGCAAACCCAGTATTAATACTTTGAAACGACACATCCAATTACATTTCCATCTCCAGGCCGTCCAGGGTTTTCTCTATGCATACTTAGCGTGATACTTCTTGGGCTGAGTCATATCATAGTTGTTACTATTTCAAAAGGATTTTTTTTTTAGCTAAAATTGACTTTAAAAAATTTCTCTTTTGACATTGACAAAATAATTTTTTTCTCTGGTGCAGTGGTACTTCGGTTCACGAACTTAATTCTTTCTATGATTCTGGTCACAAACCAAATTGGATGAGAAGCAAATCAAATTCAGTGGTTAGGTTCAATGTTGACCTTACCGGGAAATTTGATACAGTTCTTATCCAATTCGGTTTACAACCAGAATCATGGAAAGAATTAAATTTGTGAACTGAGGTACCACTGTAGTCAGGATTTGTGGTTTTTCCTTTAGAACCAAGATCATACTTGTGTCTTGATTTAGCCGCAGATACACACAGAAAGATCAGAGAGGTACACTATGCTCTTATTAATTGCCTTGATTATGAAACAATAATAATGTAGAATATAGGTCTTTACAGTAACCAGAGGTGGAGAAGAATTCAGCTCTCTGCTGGTATAACAGGGAAGGCCAAGTCATCTATCCAGAAAGCATTTCTTAGCCTGTTTGATCTTAGCTTGACATATAGCCAGGTGAATTCTTCCATCAAAGAAAGAAAAATTGAAGAATCTCAGAGGAGGGAGGCGGGTGTTGCGGAGTTACTTTCATTTTAATTTGCTTATTTTTTTATAGAACTTTTTTTTCTTTTTTCTTTTTTTGACACAGGGTTTCACTATGTGGTTCAGACTGGCCTTAAACTCACTGTGTAGCCCATTCTAGCCTTGAACTTGCAGTGATCCTCCTGCCTCAGCCTACCAAATACTGAGATTATAAGCATGTGCCACCATGCATGGCAGAACTTTCTAAAAGAATGGTATCTGCCACTGGAATTTGAAAGAAAACTATATTTGAAACTTGTATAAAGTTTTTTAAAATTTTATTATATTTTTGGTTTTAGAAAGGAATTTAGAACCAAGGAAAGTACTGTAGAGTTCCTATTAGAGGGGAGTATCATTTTGAAACCTGTTTTCCTCAAAGAGTGTCTCAGAATGCACTGCACTGGTTTGTTAGTATAGTCTTTCACCTAAGCTCACATAGTGGACAGGATATATTTTATATAATGTAAACTTACAGAGAAGTTGGAGGAATAGTGTGAGAAACGCCTGGGTAGCCTTCACCCACCCCACCCATTGTTTCCCATTGCTCCACCATGCTCTCCTCACTCCCGGCCGCCTGCTTTCCCTGACCTATGTACTTTCTTTGTGAAATTTTAAGAGTAAATTAGAGACACATTACTACACGGTCCTTTGTAGTTGAATGCTTCCATGAAAGTTGCCTGAGAACAAGGGTGTTCTCTTCCCTGAGTGCAGTGCTGTCAGCACATTAGGGCTGCCTGATGTTTGTGCCCTGCTGGTATCAATCTCCGTCCGTATTCCCAACGTTCTCTCCACCCATAGTGTTCTTCAGAGGCTCTTTTCTCTTCCTAGAACCAGGATCCAGTTCAGCATCAAACATTGCCTTTAGCTGTCCTGTCTCTGGCATCCCAGATTCTGGGAAACTTGCTTAGCTTTCTTTGTTTTTCCTAACTTCAGCCTTTTGATTCATTGCCAGTTATTTTTCTAGAATTTCCCTCAATTTGGATTTGTTTTCTTCTGGTTAGATTCAGGTTCTGAATTTTTGGCAGGGAACCAGAGGTGATGTTGTGTGCTCCTGCTGGGAGGCACGTGATGCGTTTTCTGTCCTTTCTGACGTTATCGTCCCCCTTCACATATTTGTACCTACGTTTCCCAACAGGGAGAAACCTGCATCCTGTTATCCTGGGTGTATTTACTGCCTTGCTCAAGTCTAGAATGCACAGAAACTAGTTTCAAAGTTGCTAGTCCCTACTACTACACAAAATAACCCTAGCAACTGGAGGTCAGTATGTGCGTGCTTCTTTTGTCCTGTGTTAAATTCATACACGTGGAAATGCACGAATCTGAATTTCATAAGTTTTGACAAGCGCATGCCCTTGTATAAGCCATGCCCCTCCAATCAAAATGCAGAGTCACCATTCAAGCAGGTTCCCTCACACCTTTCCCAGGGAGTTCTGGGGACAGGGGAGTGAGTCAAATTCTGTGGCTGTTCTTTCCCTCCAAAGGGTAAAGCCTAGGTGTCGCTGGGTGTTTTGTGCACCATTGACCTTATTTCTGGGGCCTAAAAGCTGACCAGAACTTGTCTGATATCTGCAGAATCTGGGCCAGGGCTGTGCCTGAGGAAGGACACTGTACATGGAGCATCCTTGTTCTCCATGCACGGTTCTGTCACCCACAGTCTTTGAGGTCTTGCAGGGCCAGCCTGCTCTGCGGGAGCTGTCAGGGTCTACATAGCATCTGGGGCCCGCCTCCTGCACAGATGGAGCAAGATAGGCCCAGAAACCTGATCTTGAGCTTCTAATGAGTGATTAGCAACCCTAATAATACATGCACGCCGTGGGCACCACGTGGCAGGCTCTTCTGTCAGTGGGTTGTGGTTAAACTTCTGTGAGTGACTTCTTGTTGGCTTTTGTGTGCATCGGGCCGGTGTGCCTGAGCAGTGTGAGGGACAGGCTGGTGGTGAACAGTACACATCAGCTGGCACCCTCAGATGGTACATCACACTTTCTTGATGCCTTTATCACAGCCAGGCTGCCCGCTTATCCTGAGATTTTACGTCACCCTACCATTATTTTAGAATATTTGCTTGTGACTTAAGAAGCATGAAATACCAAAATTAAACTGGAAAAGCTCTGCCCTAAAGCAGTTTGTCCCCAAAGAGTTCTGCAAGTGCACCTGGAAAGAACAGACAGGCAAAACCGAGATTTGGAGGGAAGGGTCAGCCTTTCACTGTGTGTCTGTCTGCAG